TGGCTGAGTATGTCTAATGATTGTACATACTTCACTGCCTATTTACTTGGTATACTTACTAATATAAATTGGCTGTACATGGAATTATGGCAGTTCAGAAAGAACTTCGCAGGGCCAGCAAAGAAGGGGTTAATAGTATTAATGACATTTCAGAGAATAAAGTTTCTTGACTTGACATATAGAAATGTCATTTTTAGTGAGCTTCAGTATCCCTTAGCCATGAACATGGCCCTACCTTCATGTTCACATTTATAACCTGTGGCATGGTGCCCCGTGGTGGCTGCTTGCCTTCTGTTACATTTGCTCAAGCCAGAAAGTGCGCAATTCACTTTGGTTACTACTAAAAAAAGTAGTTCATCTTTATTTGCTAATAGTCAGCATTCAAGTGTAAAACAACATTTGGCAACTACTGACTGTTTCTAGTTCCATTCAAAGAGGGAATGCAGGTCCCTACAGCTAGTTACTTGAAGTTGATTTCATACTGCTTTTCAAGACATAATTAAATAAAAAAATCTAGCTGTTACAGTGTTTCTTTTACTAGGTTCTTTTTTATCTATTTCATTATTAAAATGAAACATTTTAAAATCAGCTGTCTTTATCAACAATTAGAATGTGGGAATCATGATTCATTTTTCCTTGCACACATTTTTTAGGCTGTAATATACCAATGACTTTGGGATTTGTTTGTAACTAGTTTCTAGCAAACTTCCATTTCATTTTCTTATGTGAAATGCAGCTTTTGCACCACAACGAATGGTAGAATAATATTTAAGAAAAGATGTTATTACTAAACTGCCTTGTTAATATCATGTAAACATTTGTATTACTTCTGGAATTTTCTAAAATGTTTCAAAGAGTTGGTTTTCTTTCCACATGTATCTCCCTTAGCAAACAGTATTTGTCAACCTGTTTTCATAAGGGGGCATGGATGTTGATCCTGGCTGTGACTTAATCAAGGCTTAGTGTGGAAAAGCTGGGCCCCCGGAGTACCCACAATTCATGCTGATACCTTCTTGATGAAATAATTACAGAGGTGAGGGGAAGGTTTGTTAATTTGGTTAATTTCCAGAAGGTAGCTTTCACTGCTGCAAGGTACCTAGGTGCCTATGTGATGATGATATATAAACATCTAAAAGAAATGAGTGATAGAATTACAGTGGCTGCATGTTTGCACAGGTGGCTTAGCCTGAAAAGTCCCACAAAATTCAACTTTTGGTCTATTGAAGATTGCTTAAGAAAAGAAAGGTTATACAGTCCATTCTTACAAAGAAATATTTTTAAACACATAATTTAAAAGATTTTTAAAAAATCAGTACACGCAGCTCTTCGTCTAAATGTTGATATCTTGTATTTACAACACATGCCTAGAATTTCTTGGTTTTATTTTCAGTTTGTCTAAAAATGACTGTAGGCATAATCAGATATTTACTTGAAAAACAGCTATTGTGGTTTAAGAAGTTTCCACTTTGTATCTGTTCACTACTGTCCCACTCAGCTGAAGCATATTGAGTTACTATGTGTATTATGCTAATCCATTTTGGTGCAAAAATAAATCTTTACTCTTTACTATGGATGTTTTGTGGGCAAAAATGACTACTCAACATATCTTTGGGCTGTTGTTTTATATTTTCTAATTTTTGACATTTTGATTTTTGTACATCAAAATTTGGGTCAGATAGATTCATTGCCTTGACTCCAACGATTTCAGCCTGAATTGTTGCTTGGCAGTTTATAAACATCAATATGTTAAACCTGTGTTTACTACCAAGAGGGTGGTAATTGATAGGAATTAATAAAAATATTTTAAAATAACAAAACTACATTATTAATGTAATTTCATGACTGCTGAATCCAGACATTTTAATATGATGCTCATAAACATACTTGTATACCAACGTATGGGAGTGAGAAAGCTTGCAGTATTTTGACATAATTCAGATTTTACTGACACTTTTTAAATCAAAATATTTATTAAGCACTCAACAACTGCTTATTTTAAAGCAGCAGTCCAAATCCAGGACTACTGGTGCATGGACACTGAAACTGAGGAGGTAAGAGAATGATTAACAATTACATGTAAGCAGAGAATGATTTTCATGCTCCAGATTATTCATTAGCTTAATTTTGGAGTTTCTGTTTTTAAATAAAACTGCTCATCAGGTTCTCCTTATATATATAAAATTTCATGTTAATTTTGGAAAGGAAAATTCAAGTTCTGAAGTTGGTGTTTCCCATTATTTTGCCAAACAGACCCTTACCAGCTTTCAGACTTTCTCATGGGCCATCATGCACCTTTACTGTCAAACAGGTCACCAAAAATTCTGTCAAGTTATGTCATTATGTGGCTTCAGGAGGGCTGAGTGCCGTTACTGCAAAGACCTAGGCCTCTGCCAAGTAGCCACGCTTCTTTGTGTAGTCTTCACTCTTTATATTGGTCTGCAAAACTTTTTTGCCTTTCTGCTACTAATTCTCTATGAACAAATACGAATCTTCTATATGCTTTGCCTATACGTTCTGTTGTAATTCATCCATACTCTTGCTCTTTACTGTATCCTTCTAATCTGTCAAGAAGGCTAGAGAAAAATGCTGGTTTTGATGAAGTCCATTGCAAAATACCTGCTTACTTGGGTATCAGTCAGGACAATCCAGAAAACAGTTTCCACCCAGACATATCCAATATATGAATATAGCCATTATGCTTGTAAGAAACTACTTCTGCAAAGCAGTTTCAAAAACAACACTATAGAGATGCTCAATGACATTCTCAAAGTTTTATTTTCTTATATAGGGACTTGGTTTTGAACAACTGATTATACACACAATCAAAGAAACCTTTGTCCTTACTTAAGTATTATTTCAATGTCTTGTAAATTTTGACTAGGGTACAGGAACTTTACAGCCTATCTATCATAGTATATTTATTTTTTATAAACAATTATACTGTTAGCATATTTATAGTATGAAATTCTTACCTTCCTTCATAAAATCTTTAAATATTTTAAGGCTCCTATTAAAATATATAATGTTTCTTCATCATGTTTTGCAAAAACACCATCCTGATCTTTTTGTGTAATTTCTGCATCATTATTTCTGTTGCTTATCAGCTCTACATGCAAGATGGCAATAGATGCTAGTGGCATGCAAGGTTGTGAGGACTAGTTTTAAAAAGTCACTTAGAAATACCATCTTTAAGGTCCCTTCGAGTCCAAACCATTCTATGATATGATTCTATGATTCTTCACTTGCAAATCTCAATGCAGTCTTACTTCCAATGGGATGACCAAGAATAGTATCTCTTCCTAAAAGTTTAGGAGTAACATCAGTGATCTGTAAGGCCATTGGTCTTGTTGAAAATAACTGACCTGGCTGAACATGATGTCATTCTACCATGCTTCTTGCTGTGCAGAGGAGACCAGAGGATATCACTGGAGGTCTGTTTGCCAATAGAAACATCTGTAGATGCTATGACCTGCATCAGTCAAAATCAGCAGGTGTAGTTTAATCTGCTGGTGAAGATGAACATAACCTACCCCAATTAAATTTTGCATGCAGTGTATTTTGGGGATTCATATTGCCCCTTCTGCCAGCTGAGCTTTGCCTTTGGTGTATATGGAAGGGAAGCAATGCCTGCCTGTAATCTAATATACTGCAACGAGAAAAAGCCTCAAAGCTAAAAACTGGCTAATTAGGTTCTGGGGCTATCCTGTGAAAATGATCAGAGGTGAGGGACAGTTAGAGCCCAGAGGCATGTCAAGAGGACTGGGGATGGTGTCTGAGCAATAGTTTTGTTTTTTATACAGATACAAAGGAAGCATCATATACCTGTCTGTGGGGATCTGTAAAAGGACCACTTCTAACATATGGAGTGAAAGTGGGCTTGATAAAATTGAGAATTTTAAGGGCAGAGACTGCAGACATCTCCCTAAAATTGGCATATGAGTAGTATATGGACAACTTTATGGAAGTAAAACTTTTAACACCAAGGTGGTGGGCAAAACTGGAATATTCTAAAGCATACCTTTACAATGTAAAAAGCCATGCTTATTACAGACAGGTAAAAGCTGCTAGCAGCAACATTCTCTGTATAATCTTTGGCATCTCCAAAAATGTGTTATAGGCCACGCAAATGTTTGACAATGAATTAAATGTGAAATGTCCATTTTTACAGCACCCTGTGCCTAACTGGCAGATTTTATATATGTTTAAATAGTGCTTATAAGGCATTTTTTGTACTATGTAGTAAAAATATACTAAGGCTTGTCTCAACCAAATTGACATGCCTTCAAGGTGCTGAGGGGCCTCCTTTCCTCTATAAGCAGGGACATTCCTGGGGGGGAAAAAAATAAAAAAAAAATAAAAAAAAAAAAAAAGAAAAAAAGGCAATTTACCAAACAAAATACTGAAAAACCAAGGAGAGAGTACTCGTGTCAGGTGCCAAGAGCCAGAGGCAGTGGTAATGAAGAACTCAAAATACCTGAAGATTTAGAGGAAAACCAGCACCAAAACAGATAGTGAACAAGAAAACATTATCACACTCCAGACACCCAATAATGAGATAAAGTGCTGCCATGCCAGGCATGCAATGGGAAGCCTGGAGCTGACAAGGCCATGGAAGATGTCTAGGAGCTGCAGAAAAACTGATGCCACAGTGCGACGGTTGGGTACCAAAGCACTGGTGGAGAGCACGAGGTCAAAGACCTGAAAAATACAAATTCTTTTATGAAAGCCTCATCAGGAAGGGAGGCCTGGCTGAGGGGCGTAATCCAGGAAAGGAGCTGCTCCAGAGGAAAGGGTGCGGAGGCGCCAGAGCGATGCTGGTGCCAAGCAGGGACGCGCGGGCCCGCGGGCAGCCGGGGCCCCGCAGCCCCCGCAAGGATCAGGTCGGGGCCGGGCGGGACCCCTCGGGGGGTCGGGGCAGGGCGGCGGGGCGGGGCCGAGGGCCGGGGGCGGGCAGCGGCAGCTCGGAGCCCGGGGCCGGGCCGGGGCGGGGCGAGCGGAGGGGGCGGGCAGCCGCAGCCGCGGCGGGCGGAGCGCGGTGCGTGTGCGCGGCCCGGCCCCGGCTCATTACTCAGCGGCCGAGGCAGGAGGTGGCGGCGGGAGGCGGTGAGCGCGGGGTAGGGGGGGGCCGTGGCCCCCGCTGGGGCGTCGGGCGGCGGCGCGGGGAGCGGGCCGGGCCGGGGCCGGGGCAGGGTACGGTACGGTACGGTACGGTAGGGCGCGGTAGGCGGGCGGGCGGCCGCGCCGCGGGGACCGGGCCCGGCCGCTTTGTTTACGTTTCGGCAGGGCAACGAGCGGGGAGGCAGCTGGGGGCGGCCCGCGCCCTTGCCCGGAGGCGGGCGGCTGTGCGGGGCTCTCCGGTCCGGTGACCTTCCTTGTCTGCTCGGGGCTGGCGGGGCTGGAGGTGTCTCGGTGGATAATGGCGGGGGCCTCTTTGTTGGTGTGGCAGGAGGATCGGCGCGGGGCTCCTCCTCCTCCTCCCGGGAGCGGGGGCACCCAGGCAGGCCGGGCTGTTGTCTCCTTCCCGCTCGGCCTCCGGGGAAGGAAGGGTCTGCGGTGGAGGAGGTGGGAATGCAGCCCTGCGAGCGGGCCACCTCTGTGGTCAGCTTCCATGACCTTGCTCTTGAAAGCGCCTCTTAAAGCAAAAAATACTCCTCTGGGATAATGAAACTGATGTAGGGGCCTGGGGAGTCCGGCAGTGTCTTTGATTATTTTGCCTTTGAATTTTTATATTTCTTGCGAAAGGAGTGAGATGTCTTGTAGCAGAATTTCTTTTGCTCTTCAGTTTCTCTGTGTTAACAGCATCCAGTTTACTCCTGAAGCCAGTTTCGTTATGCCTTTCTATCTGGAGTGGTTCCATCAATGAAGTTTGACTGCTGCACTGCTCATAACCTACAAAAAATCCTACTTGATAATTTATTTCCTACCCCCCCCCCAGCTACAATAGTGGTTTTGAATGTATAGCATGTTTTTGAATTTCAGTGTTGTACAGAACAGTCTTGCTGGAGCCTTTCAGATAGCCGAAAAATCCTACACACTTTGGCCTATCTGATAATATAAACACAAAGGGTATTATGCTCCTTTGGGGAAGGAAAGTAGTAGTTGCCTTAGGGCTCGTGCATGTGGAATTGAGCAGGCTTACTCACTGCAGCTGGGCTTTCCTTACAGGTGTGGAGACTTAACCAGTGATGGTCTGACAGGTCATGTGAGACCTGGTCTCACTTCTAGAGATGCCAACAAATGTACTTCTAGGGCAGAATAGTATATGACATGCATCTTTTTGTATTTGCAAGTATATTAATCTATTAGATAACTTGAAAATGGTTTAAACTTTAACATGAAGAGGAACTGGGCCAAACCTAGTTAAGGGTACTGTCAAAGTGAGTTCATTGACTTACTTGATCACTCCTTGTGTATAATGAACAGAAACTCTTAGTTCTTCTAATAGTAGTTAAGAAAAATATGTTGAATTTCAACTGGTCCCCTGCTTTGATCTCAGTCTGTGGGGGGCAACCATCTTTTTTTCCTGGTTGATTCAAAGATGTGTAATATAGACTAGTTTGATAGTAGGATGCAGATACAGAGTTCTGCAGAACATGTGATGATGTCAGTGCAGGGACCAGACAAATTGCAGGCTGCCTGTCAAAACCTGACAATTTTCAGGGCCAGTTGGGCAAAAGTATGATAGGACAATGGAGAGAAAAGCATCTGCTGAAGAAGACTAATCCAGAGTTGCAAAGGGTATATTAAGTTGTTCTGTTATCACTCTGAAAAAGGAATTTTAATGGTGTCTTCCGCTGCAGAAGTTCCCAAGCTTTTTGTACCATTGGCTTGTATTCAAAGTAATCTTGTGGGCTACTGTGTACTTCATGGAGACTTCTAGGTCAGAAACATTAGTAAAATAATCTGATATGGTTCTGAGTCCTGTAGTTTTGGACTGCTTGCTCTATGCAGAAGTAGAGTTGCCTTTTGTATGTGTTTTTTTTCTTTTAGCTTTTAACCCCTCTCGTTAGGGACCAAGGCCTTTGCTGGCTTTATAGCCTTGCAGGTATAACCTTCTTTGTAAAGGCTTTAGGTGAACTTGTATTGGTGAACTGCTATGCAAATATTAGGGAATAAACAAGTGTTTGAAGATTTTAACAACTGAATTTATTTCCTGCCTGCTGCTTACTTGAAATGAATCAATGTGTTTATTTCATATTTTATGTTTTGTTTTGTTTTGTTTTTTTTTTAAACCATGAGCTACTGGGATAGTATTTGAGATTATAATGCTAACTGGTTATTGTTCACTTTATGTGTGTTTTTGGTTTCATTTTCATCCTTCCTCAGCTGCCTAAATTGATTGAATGCTTATTGTTATTATTAAAAGATGCGTGGAAAGTACATGCTCAGCTCCTAATTTTTCAGGATTGATCCAGTATTCTGGATAAATACAAATGTCCTTCTTGATAGTCTGCTGAAAGGAATGGTGTGCTATTTCTTAAACTTAATTTTCTACCCACCCCCTTTGGGAAAAAAGTGCTCTCTTTATATAGTTTTACTGTATGTTTTTAATATAGATAATGTTCGTTGCTGTATCACTTCAGAAATCAGACTAATCTGGTTTTGATCATAAAATGTATTTTATTGCTGTGTTTCCTTTAAAAAAACCCTTAGTCCTTAACTCAAAACCTGTGGAAACAGGTTTTTCTTTATGTTATGGAAAGATCTCTTGGCTTTTGAAAGCTCTCTAAAAAGCCAGTTTAGACTACTTACGTTGTTTGCCTGCTGTGAAATTCATAATAGTGTAGACATGGATTCTGAAAAACAATTTTTACTTTGGTTTGAAAACTAGATATTCAGATTCTTAAATCTTTAAAGAATCCTCTTGTTTAAATGGAGATGGAAATTAACCTTTAAATTTTATAAAGGCCTTTTCTGATTATTCTCATGAAAAGATAAGCTATATTTAAATAAGCATTCATTGCTCCATTACAAGGTATATTTGTATGAAAATACAGCAATAGTCACTTTTATTAGTGTACATTCTTTTTAAATGACTGTAGAGTCAATTAAAAATACGTGGTTGATAAAGTCCCCCAGTCTTCAGGACAATTGTAAGTGGCTACCTTGCTTAGGCAGTTTCTCTTATCCGCTGTTCCTTCTTGCCAGCTGCTGTATGGCAAAACATATCAAGGAGCTAACTAATCCAGCTGAAAAAAATTCTTCCTCTTGGTCTTTTTTCAGCCTGATTAATTCCCTTATGTGTCTGAACAAGTGGCTACGCTGCTGCAAGGTTGGAAGACAAGGAGGCTGCTTGGGTGGGGATTGCTATCAGTCATGCATATGCACAAAGTTGTTCACAGATGAAGTAATGGTGGATGGAAGACTCAAGTGATGGAAATTGGCAAGTCTCTTGATAAGAGCTTGTTTAAAGATCTGCCTGCAGTCTTGGTCTTCTGTTGCTGCTGCTGAAAACCATTCTGAACAAGATGTGTATTTTGGTTTCTTAAATGCGCTGTAGAGCCCAAAATGAATTCGGGATGAGTACCCATTTGGTAATGAATGTTGGTCTAGAAGTTATGAGTCTATAACTTGGTGTGGATAGCCATCCTCTTCCACACCTAGCTGTATTAATTGTTTCAAAGTGTATGTGTAGTGTCAATAGGGGCTCTTAAATAAAATAACCTGGAAATTTTTGGACTAAGGCAGGGCAGTGAGGCAGAAGATGCATCCTTGCAGTGTTGATAACTGTGTGTTCTGCTTTCTTTGAGTACTGTGTTTGTGAAGAAGAAAATATTAACTCTTACAGGACTGTATTTTACATGTAGGAATGCAAATGCTCATTCATCTTTTGTGGCACTTCAAAAATTTGTAGCATTTATCTTTTAGGTTATTCTGCTTGGTAGGGGCAGCTTTTATTTCAGTGTTCAAAACTTCCTTTACTATAGCTTTTTCCATCTTATATCTCAGTAATACATGAAGTAATCAGGAAAAACATTTGAAATACCCTATTCCTTTTATGTCCTGGCTCTTATTTAAAATACAGGACTATAGATGTAGGTCACTGGGTAGTTTCCCAAGTTATTTGTATTTACCAAATACTTAGTGGAATTTTATTAGTACTATTCACCTGTACAAGTTTGTCCTGTGACAAAACTGTAGTCATCTTAGTAAGAGGTGATATTTTTAAGAAATGTCCTGTCTTAGAAGAATTTGAAGACGATGGTGAGAAATTCATGACTTGGTGATGGGTGGGATATGTTGCCACTACACTGACTTAACATTTTTGAGAAGTTAATAGTAATAAGTGTAGCTATGCATGCTATAAACTTTAATTGAGGGAAATTAATACTTGAATTTGAAGAATTAAGTCACAAAAAGTGAAATCAAAACCAACCAGAATTGCTAGATACCTTGTAACTTAAGATTTACTTGATGTAAACTTCCTGTGAGCTCAAGGAACACACCAAGTACATGGTAGCGAGCCGCTTTCTGTTAGCCAGAATACTCTTCCATTCAGTGTAGCATATGGAACACACTCCAGCTTATCATACAGCCAGCAGTGAATAGCAGTTTGCTTTTCCTATAGATTTGACAAAGCCTTTGGGTGAGAACTCCAAGAGACTGGAGCTGGATGCATCAAACTGAGAAAGGGATCCATTACTGATCAACATGAAGAACTATCCAACCAACTGTTTATATAGTACTATTACCTTGACTGTTACTTATTTTGTAAAATATTTTTGTAAGGTTTTCCAAGGCCTGCATTTTTCTTTGATTTATGTGTGAAGAGATAATGATTTTGGTGTACCGAGCTTATAATAATAGCAACACAATTCTTCTTAACTTCAGATGCTTTTTCCTATAAAAAGTAATCCTTGGTTCTCTTTCTGTCCAAATTGATTGCCTGCAAGCTTGATACTAAAATAAACCTCATAGTTGTTGCCCATATTGTCACTTTAATTGTTGGATAAATGCTGCTTGATATGTGATCAGGATGTCTATTAATAATTCTCAGTTGGATATTGTAGCCTAATGCTAAAATGGTGACTGGCAGGAAAATATACCTTATATATAATAAGCCACTTAATATAAATAATATAAATAAACCACTTAATGGTCAT